CGCTAAAATGAAGTTGTCATCGACACATTCGGCCGCTATCGTTTTCCTCCCACTTAAGCAACGCAGTGCGTATGAGGTCAACATTTCAAAAATAAATAGGTTACATATTTCGGTCGACTAACAAAGAACTGAAAGCCCAGATCGAAGCGATCGATAGCACACAAACCCACATAATCGAGTGCCGAGTACACAAATTGGTTTTTGCGCAAGGTTAGTGAGGCATCGATCGGTCCGACATCTGGTTTCCTCTAATAAGTGAATGCAAAAGGCGAAATGCCGTGAAATGTGAGTCAATTTGAGGTGCAGAGTTATGTGTAAAGCCTATATAAGATACATAGGACTCTCATACGCCTAGTGAGATCACAAAGGAATTTAATGCAACTTATGATTCAAATAGCAATTATTATGGCTAAATGATCTGAGGTAACAAAAATGTTTCTGATTTGTATATAGGTTTAAAAATTATTAACTAAATTAAAATGAGTAAAATTACTTAGCACGAAAGTAAATAAGCTAATGTGTTTTAAAGAAAAGAAAGTTAGTGCTATAGGGCGCCAACAAGATTATAGAATAATTTATTAGAATTATGGAGTTTGTATGCCAATTCATTGTTTTATACAGAAATTATAAATATAACCATTAGATCTTATCTAGACAATCATCATGAGTATGGTAAATTTGGTGAGAATACAATCGGATCCCACACAAAATTTGACCAAGCCATAAAATTATATTCTAAAAAATGGTATTCTGTTTTGCCGTTTCTTTTGCGGTAGATATATCTCCTCTTTTTGTGATCTCACATGATTTAATGGCATTTCTTTATATATTGCTATGAAATTGTTGTTTCGTTGTTTGCATTTTGGCTGTTGATGTGTTTGCTTTGTAAATTATGAAGTAGCCTCAGTTATATGGCCCTCAAAAATTCACACTTTCTTTTGACTTTGGATGATGCATATTATTTTTAGAACATGCCCGCGTAAACAAAGCGACGGCTGCAAACCAAATAAATAGACGTACGTAAACAATGCAAAAAAGAAGCGCTTTTTAGTTTGCATATCGAAAAATTTTAAAGGCCGGGGGCATGGCACTGAAAGTAGCCAAAACTCTTTTCGGTTTGACCATGAAAATGGCCCAAGTGCAAACGAGTGATCTTCAGCCAAGATTATCGCAAGTATATCGTGCACGAAAAACATATACCGAAAGGAAATAAAATATTTGTCTTATATAAAGCTAAAAAAAAGTATTTATCTTCAGATGTGAAGTACAAATTTCTTGATTTCGAGTAAACCACTTATCAAATGTTTTATCAATCGTATCATAATAAATTTTTCATTTGCTGCATCAGGCAAAAACTTTTTTGGGGGTGACCACATCGTTTGCTTTGCCGCCAAGTTAAATATGATTTGATTTGTTTGGAAATGCTTTTATCAAATTTTGGCTTTAATAAATGCCTACACTCTCTTTTGATGGTGTCATCAACGGATTGGATCATCGTTAAATCGAATTTATCAGTTGCGCTTATCGGACAAATGAGTTGAAGTTCAGAAAGTTTCAAACCCTTTGCACTCGCTTGATAGCTTTTGACTTTATCAAACCAAATGTCCAAACTCTTTTAGAGGTGACAACATCAATTGATTGGCTCATCCGCCACAATCACATTTTGACTTTATCGGCTGTCATTATCGGGCAATCAATGGGGAATACGCAGTGGTCTGGACTTCCTGACTTTCATTACAGCTTGGCCTTTTATAGAGGTACATCCATATAAAGTAGTTTTGATAGACTGGCCTATTCTTAGTCGCTGATTGCAGTTGGCTGCAATCTGCATTCTTCCGACTCGTTTGTTGTTATTTTTAAACGATTAGCTCAGTGTTCGCTATACGATATTTATGTTTGGTACTGGATGTGTTTACAGCACACGGCTCTCTGCAGTTTTTCGATTTCCATTTCAATTAATTGTTTACAGCACGTTTCTCAATTATGTCGACTGAATAATTAATGAGCGCATTTGCTTAGCCTATTAATGCATTTCCCAGCACATTTATTACTATTTATTTGCCAACGTGCCGCAGTTCCGCAACGAGAATTGTGTGAGAATTGGGTGTGCGATTTATTTTCCTAATTGACTTCTCCCGATTTCTGTTGGCGGGACTATCTACCTGATGTCGTTGGCAATTTGTACAGGTTTTTGATAAATCACTTTGTTACAAAAGCGTTTAGCTGATTATAATCCAAAGAGGGCATAGAAAATATATATATTTTTTTTATTATATTAGTCTACTTGTATATTATAATGCAAACTACAACTTGTTTATGAAATCTTCGTAAACAAAGCCATTAATTCTTCTGAAAACCCTTGACGGAAGATTTTCCCGGCTAAATGATTATTTTATCGTTCCGGATGAAGGGGCCCACCAGTTAAAACACTTCTAAAAATACGAATAGTATCATTCTACACAATAATAACATGCAACTCTCTGCATTTCGGATAAGCCCGACAACAAGCTCAACTGCAAATTGCGAGTACTTAGAATTTCTATTCGTCAGCCGAATGAATCGCATTTCTCCAATTGGCATTTAACTGAATTAACCGTGATAGCTACTTGGCTATTCGATTGCATTATACCATAATCAAGTTAAAAATAAAGCATAATATTACGAGGGCAAATTAATGTATGATGCGGGAAGACAAATTGATAAATGCACTTCACGTCAAGAGGAATAACAAAACAATAAAGAGCAGACATCAAAACAAGACAAATAATGCTACTAGAATAATTGACAAAGAATGCGGCATTTGGCTGAATTGAAGTGCCTTTGATAAACTCATCATGGAGACTTTTGCCCGGTCAATGCTTGATTTATGGTTGCAACAATAAAATTAAATTAAGGCGAAATAAAAACAAAGCCAGCTCTTTTAATTGAACTTTTTTTCGTTTTGCCTGTGTGGACCACATAAAGTCTTTAATGAACGCGGCGGACCGTGATTTATGAGTTGAAATTAGTTGACGCTTTTTTATCCATCTCCACGACGCGAGATGAAATGGCCAAGCCTTCAGTGCAATACTCTGCAAATCGCCAACACGTGTGGCACACACAATGTGGTCTTACAAATTGAGTGTGTCACGAAGAAGGTCAGTCGACAATAGATCATGGCTAAAATTAAATTTCAGCCATAACATCATCGGCCACGAAGACGGTGGGAAGCAGGAGAGCGATAGCCATCTAGCCAGACATTCGATGAATCGAACTTGGTTCATACCCCGCAGATAACTGATGGGCTTGGGCGTGGTTCTGCGATTCGAATAGAATTGAGGCACTACCTATTTATATTTATTCTTAATGATCTAAAAGGTTTACCATATTATTAAAATACTGCCACGTACTGGGTACATCCCATTCGATTAAGCTCGGATTGGATAATTGTCTGGTGTGAGACCAAATAACCCACTGAATAAAGCAAACTTGTGTGTTCAAAGGTGATAATGATGCCATTAAGATAGCCGGTTTATACGGATGAGTTGCACAAACAATCACTAAAACGCATATCATAAATACAAATTTCATCAAAATATTAGTTATGGCAGGGCATCACCTATTCGTTATTAGGCCCCGAAATATTACTCCGAGTGCTGGAGGCAATGTGCTCAATAAATACGTTATAAAAGTGACAATTTGTTGCCTTATTTATGACTTTATTATATGCAAATTGAGACAAATGCCCAATCTACGGCGTGTACTCGATACCAGCAATCGCACTCGATACTCGATGCTGGCGAGATCGTGTTTACAGCGCGCTTTGACATTTTAATGCTTTGTTATTATTTTGAATTTCAATTCCAATTGACAAAAAGCAAAAACAACTAGGCAAATGCAATACACGCGCTTCTGTGTATGGAGACAAAAAAAATAATAAATAACAAATAAAAAAACATCACACAAAGATCAAGTTCAATGAATTTTCACACAGTGACAAAAATGGAAGACCAACAATTCCCGGGGAGCGGTGGTAATTTCATTTAATTGAATATTTTTCGTTCTCTGCTTTCGAGCGCGCGCAAAATAAATATAAATATATCAGTTTTAAAATAACGATGACAAAATCTCTCAGGAACGAGCGCACCAAACGGAACGGATCGCAGTTCTCACAGTCCGAGGGGGCGTGGCAGATCGTGCCGCCCAGCAGATAAATCTCTGCCAACAGCGTATTGAACTTATCGAATAATGCAAAGTGCGCGGATGATGGCTAATAAAGTGAATAACCCTAAAAATGTCAAATAAACCCGGTTCACATATTGTGATTAATGGAGGGTGATAGAGGTCAAATACCTTGGAGGGATACTGAACCGCCCAAAAAACATTACTTTTCAAGCAATAGTTTTCCTGTTTTATAACCGCAATCTCTCTGCACATCACCTCAAAACCCATTAATTCATTGAACTGCCCATAAATATTTAGGCGAATGCCCATTCACATCTGGATTGGCTTTCTGGCGACCTTGGTTAAATGCAGAGAGCTTGACCTCCCAATCGATCAGCAATGGATGAGAATGATGAATGGGCAAACAAACTTGTATTTATATCCTTGACTTGCAAATTCTGTTCCTATCCAAATATTTACCCTGAGTTTAAACTACTGTAATGAATTCCTAAGTATATCAACATAAAAATCTTTAGACTTCCTGCTGATTTCGTTATATTTTTCCGTCCTTACAAAAAATATTTCTTACAAGATAAGTTTTTTCTTGGAATCTGAATTTTTGGAATTTAAGTTCTGGCTTACTTTCAAAGTATAAAATAAAATATATTTCTGAATCTTTTTTTATGAAAAATATAAAAATAAAGCAGATAAGGAAAGAAAAATGTTTAAGTACTTGAAAATAGGAAACAAAAAGGTTACATTTTGTGTTTTAAGTGAACCTGTACGATTTGATGTTAGTATAGTGGGTTAGTAATACCAACGAGTCAAACTTAGAAAAAACAAACGGAAAAACATACCCAAAAAACATTTGCGTTATCTGCGCGGGCGTCTGGCAGACATTGTGAACGTTGAGGGTGCGTGGGCGGGCGTAGAGCATTCCGGCGGGGGTGAGGGGGGGCAGTACCGCCTCGTGCAGAATGGCCGAAGTCGAGTTGCTGCGGATGGTGGTATATGCCCTATAGTGCGAACTGGCCGAGGATCGCAGCTCCACGGAAGTGGTGGTCGTAGTGGTCTCCTCGATTTCGTCCTCCTCCTTCGGGTTACTCAGGGATGATTCCGATTGTTTTTCCGATTCCGCCACCTTATCCATCATTATCTGGTGGTGCCGACTTAGGGGGGTGGCGGGTGGCATTGTGGCTGGTGATTTGGGGCTGGGCGTGGGGGTCGACTGCTTGGCAGAGCGCAATTTGATAATGTTCTGGCCACTCAACTTCTTGGCCCGCTTAATGTTGATATTGTTGCTGGTGCTGCCGTTATTTATGGTATTGTTATTACTCGTATTTGTGGTTGGATTACTGGCATAACGATGTTGCAAGCGCATTTTGCCTAGGTCTTTTTTTGAGAGCCCTAAATTCAATGTTTGAAATTCCGCTTTTGTCCGATTTGTTGCATTTGTTTGTCAGTTTTTCGGGGATTATCTGTAGCCATTAGCATAACTTGTCCATTCTGCGATCTCGACTCGCCGGCAACAACATTTCACGACGATGATGCGACGCCGCTTTCACTTTCAACTGAAGAATTTATGTGAAAATAAACAATGTTCAAAAACTCATATAGAAGGCAACAAAAAGGCAAACAATAAATATAATTCAAATGCAGCAGAAATGGTCTGTGCGTGTGTGTTGGTTTATAACGATTTTTGTCTGGCCAAAATAAATCTAGAAATTTTATTTCCCACTTTTATGTTGTTTAGCTAGCACTCGGTTGTTTTTCGTGTGTGGGTGCTCTTTTGGCAAATATTTATGCATAAATATACATCTTAAGGCATTACGCTGTGCACAAATTAAATTGATTTCTTTGGGGCGAGAAAGTGAGTGTGTGTGTGTATACGCGTTTGTTTTTATAAATTTAGAAATGATTTTATATGGCGCACACAGGCGCGGTTTTGGTTTTATAGGCGATCGGAACGGAAGTCGGCTGAATAATATTCGTAAATATCAAGAGAACTCGAAAAGAGACTCACACACACGGACATTCGCACACAGAGGCGACGGCTCACCAACACTCATGCAGCGCGACCGACGAGGCGTATACGCAACGTTGTTAACGCGTCGAATGAACGCAAGCGAATGAGTCGCAAAACTCGGAAAGTCCACAAAAGTACTTTGAACATCGATCGCCGCTGCGAACCGAAGAGAGGAGAGAATCGAGAATTCGGGAGGGTGAGAGGTGAGACAAAGAGAAGGAGAAGCCCTCTCTTTCTTCCCCAGCACACGTTCAAAACAAACAACATTCAATCAAATGGCGAAAATTTGACCAATGCTGCAAATTGAGTAGGAAGAAGCCACCAAATTCACGTTGCGCGTGGGCAACTCTCGATTGTTTAACAAATTTCGTTGACCGGGGAAAAAATCCATTCACACCGCACAAAAAATGAACACAAATCGATTACACACTAAAACAGGTACAAGCAGTTATTTGATTGAAATTTATTAAAGACTTAAATTCTCACCGAGTGTTTCTAATTAAATTGTAAATTAATTGTTTAAAATGAAATATAGAAATAAATTACCCAAAATCGGTATACATAAGTATTTAAAAATTATTTTGAAAACATTTTAAAATATCAAATCGATATGCGCATAGTAAATTTGTGGTACTATACGCATATTGTTTTTACCATGCAATACTAATAGAACTGATATTAAATAATATCGTTTCGCCGAATTCTGTCTATCAGAGATTCTCTAACTTCGAAAAAGAAAGGAAGAAGCATTAATGCGATTTAAGTTACGTCAGTGGGAGCGAGAAAGGATCATTCGAAATTCGAACTTAAAAAAATGAATAAAGCAATTAATAACAAAGCTTTCAAAAATTATAAATAAGAGAGAATATTTTTTTTACATAATAGTTTTTTTTGTCTTAGTGAGTTACTTTATAGCACAATATAAAGTAACTCACTAAGATCTATTAAATGAATAAAAATTAATAACGGTTAAACTTTTTTCGAAACCCCAAACTTTTGTTTAAAAGTCTTAAATAAAATTAGGTAATCACAGAATTCGGGAATTTATAGTACTTCTTAAAAGACAAATACCGCAATCTACCCTACCTAATTCGTATATGGATTTATTTGTTCTTTCCCATTTTACTTTCTTACTATCATCAAATCATAGATTTTGTCCATAATTTTACTATCTGTTGCCATTGTTTTTGGCTATCAGACTTTCTCTTTTTGTATGTTTGTTTTGGTGTTTGTGTATTTGACTTTCTTTAGTTTTTGCAATCAAATGGAAACTCAAATGAAAGTCAACCTAATCTATAGTGCGCGGTAAAAGTATAAGGTACATAAAAGCTCCATTTTCCAGATAAAGATGTGAATAACTTGTATTTTTGCTGAGAACTTTGAATTTCAAAATTGAATAAAAAAACGTCCTTTGTTTGAGTCGGATAATAAATATTATGCATAGTTATTAACGAACGATTGATTTGCAAAAGCTATAGAGTTTTCAAACGAACTGTGCATTTACACTTATATGACTGCGAATTGGGAGTGAAGTGACTAAGTCACCAGGGTCCCAAACCGATTTGCTCCCAATTAGTAATTATTGCGCTTACTCATGGCCGAAAAAATGTGAATAAAGATTGTAGTTGACCAAGAGTCAGGTGACTAATAATGGGACTCCCTTCGGCATTAATAGAAGCCCCCATAGGCTTTTTTGCCCCAAAATAGGGATACCAGGTGAGTGGTATTTCCGTAGCGTTCCTTTCTCCATTTCGTGTGTGAGTGTCAACAGCTGTTTGTGGGCGGTTTGAAGACTATTTTTGCCAAATAGGTGGCAATATATACTACTCATCTCACCTATATAAACAGAAAACAAGCGAGTAGAAATCTGTCTATATCTGCCAGGCCGAAAATTTATTGATGCCGCTCGAAATGGGATTAGGCGCGCGTGTAGGTGAACGAAAAGTCCACAAAAAATATATATTTTCTAAAAAAAAATCGGTTTAGAAAAAAAGAGGGCGTTGCTACAAATTATAATGTATGTCAGGGTTTGCTCTTGGCACTTGTTTCTTTTTGCCTCGAATGCGAAAGTTCAAAAAGATTTGCGCACATGTCCAAGACGTTTGTTTCGGCTCTTTGTTTTACGTTTCTTTTTAATAATATTTCCCCCGGTTGTTGTGTTGGCCAAAAATACTCAAATTTGCACGGCACCAGCGGAGATGCTGTCATAGACGCGCCTTTTATGAGCATTTTGCGATGATGCCATTCGGGTTAGGTTATCTCGGGTTATATGGTGGCCATAAATCCATCTAAGCCTAATTAATTGCTCGCCACGAGTTGAAACAAGGTGAAAACATTTAATTTGCGGTTCCGGATAATCGTGGATTATAATTTTTGGCGTGCAATGATAATGCCAACAATATAAACAATTTTTTTGCGTATTTAATTAGAGGAGATAAAATGGGATAACAGATTGTTTACTTTTTATTCTTTGATAGCACAAAAAATACATGAGGTGAAAGAAATTAAATTTGGTGTATGTGATACCCCTTTATTTTTATTTTGTATAGGGGTTTTATAGAGCTTCTTATTACATTTAATATGAAATTTAAAACTTTGTATGTACATTAGGGTGGTTTTTTTTTGTATGAAAAATTCTAAGGTCCTACTCTCACCCCCTTATACTTTGCGCATTGGTGCATTTAAGACATACCAAAAAGAAAAAGTATAAAAAAATGCGATTTAGGGCTTGCGCATTGACCTTTAAGTTTATCACTCATACGAACTGTTGCCCTTGATCAAATATTTTAATTTCATATAGATGGCGTAGACTTGTCATTACTTATTGAGTCTAAACATAAAGGTAACCTTGTCACCTTTACAAACGGCTAAAGAAAAATAAAATCGCTATGGCAATATAGGTTCCAATATTTAAGGGAGTCGCACCACAAATCAAACAAATATTTTTTTTTATTTATCGCCCCCAAACTATATGCAGAATATGTGGATAAAAAGCTATTTAGATATTTTTAAAAATATTAATGTACGTTTCGTGGCCAAAAAAACACTTGCTAGGGTTTTATAACAAGTTTAGATCCCAAGTCGAAATCTAAATTTTTACTTTAGTTTGTTTTCGTAGTCTAATGAATTACGTGGACTATTATTTAACAAAATCGTCTAGATCTACATTTATTGAATCCTTCATACAAACAGACAAACAAAGCAATATAATTATACCGAAAATTCATAAATTTATTTATTTTGTTATATCCCTGCATTATAGGGTACAGGGTATTATAATTTCAGTCAAAAGTTTGCAACGCAATGAAGGAATGATATCCGACTATATATTCTTGATCAGCATCACCAGGAGAGTCGATCAAGCCATGTCCGTCTGTCTTTTCTTGTTAAGTCGCGTTATTCGTCAAAGGACGTACTCGAATTGCCTTGCTCTTCCATACGCTAACCAGCATTTTTGCAACAAGCTGAGCACTTTCAGATAAGAAACTTTGTTTCAGAGGAACTGTCCTGTAGAGCAAAGTACGGTCCTCTTTAACGGCAAAGTTTCTTCTTCATTAAAATTGAAATTTACCTTTCCAACCAAAAAAAGGTGCTCTCCATTTTGTTAACGATTATGAACGAAATCAAATATTTGACAAGTGTAGATATGGGAAAAGATTTGCCTACCAAAAACTCATACTGGCTTACGTGCCGTATGAGTAATTTTTTTGGAAACTTTGAGACCATTGCGCAAGCCCTTAGACTTAATTTAAAATTTTTTGGATTTTAGTTTAAGTTATTTTGCACAAATATCTTGTGTTTAAAAGGGTGAGATAAAAATTCCTTATAAAAAACCGCCCTAATGTACATTGTACAAATATATCATAAAAAAATTACGTAGTCAGCTTAAAATAATAAAATTACCCCCAATGACTAAAAATATTATTTTTTAGCTGGATAACATTATTGATAACCATTGCTTTACAAATAATAAAAACGCACAATAATAATTTTTTCAAATATTTTAAAAAAAGTTATTAATTAATTAGCATGGAATTTGTATTTATCTCAGACTCTAAATTAAAAGTGAGTTTATCGCAGCATATTATAGATAGAGAATGTAGGTATATTTCTAAGTATTGAAAAACAAGAAGAGAATCAGGAATTGCCTAGTTAAGTTGCCTAAATGGAAGTAATTATCTAAAACAATATGTAATTACTCAATAAATTCTTGTCCCACATTTTGTATTCTAATTGCCATCCGTCAGGCTAAGAAAATGTAGAACTCACCCACGAATTTTTTGATTGGCAACCGATTGTCAGTTGATTGACAAACTGTTTGGTTGTGTGCGATTGAAGGCAGGGTCTCAATGTTATATACTGAAACAGGTCATTATATTTACGGTCAGGTAATATTTGGATCTCTATATGAGAAATATGATTGACCATTATCATGCTAGTTTAAGAGAACTAACCAGCCAAGAATATTTATGCAAATTAGGGTAGATCTACTTTAAAGAACTTATAATTCATGTAATTTACTGAAATGGGGTCGTATTAAATCCATATTTACTATACTTTTTAGAGTGTTTAGGGTTCGGCCTCAGATTTCGCTCACTTTTATTTATGATCCCGCTGCTGATAAGCGGCAGTCGATTGTTTTTTAGGCGCTAACATACGGACAACAATTCAATCAAGTATCCATCACTAACACACGCGTTGAGAGAGCCGTGCCCAGATAAGCAAATGGTTGGATAACAAAGGCCTACAGATAATGCCAATCGCAAACACAGCGAAACACATTCGGGTTTGTATTTGTGATATTTGCTATAAAGTCGAAAAAAAGTTTATCGCACGCAAACAAAAACGACCTTCAGTAATGATGCCTTTGTATTTACCTAGCCATATTAATGTCGCGGCGATTTCTTATTGCCAATTTGCTTTTTATGTGTACATATATTTTTGAAAACATTTAAGATTCCGTTCTGGTCTTCCTGGTTGGTACATGTAAGTGCTGCATAATTGTTTATGTTTTATTTAAAGGTATACATTTTTCCCTTGCACGCTTACTCTTTTCCCGCCTGTTTTCATTTGAATCGCTTGGACAGCACTGCCGTTTATTTAAAATTTTAAA